ATCTGTAAAAGAAAATCTGCTTAATAATTATGCACACCTGAATATAAGGCGTTTTTCACTTCCAGCCTTCATGAACAATAATATATAGATTATAAGTGATTAAATACAAGATTAATAGTAGTTATAATTATTGGTAAAATGTGCTTGGAAAAAAATATAATCAGAATATCAACTTGCATAATAATTATGCATGCACTGTATTTTTCCTCTTCTGCTGTCGAGGTAATGCAAGGAATGTTGTGATTGGTTGTCAAGGCAGCCAATCAGAATTTAGCAGCCTCGGTCTCTGATTGGCTGGAATTATGGCACATTGTAACGCTGGGTTGTGTTGAGCACGTGAGCTGTTGGCATTTAGCGAGCACTGAGGGCATCAGTTGAGCAAGCTAGTGAAACGTTGCACGCGCAAAAGAGAAGGTCTGCACACATCCAAAAACTTATTTTAAATGCAAAATTGATTTTCGTGCGCTCGAAATACTTTCTTCTTTGCGAGACAAACATTTTCTCCACAAAACTCAGTTCGCGCGCTCAAAATATGATCTTTCGCACGCAGAATTGTGGCAGAATTGTAATCCCATACGAACGCGGCTCAGCCAATCAGAATCAAGGACCGGAACTATCCGTTTTAAAAAGATGTTTTTGCTCTTATTTCTATGTAAATGAGCTCTGTTATGATTGGCTAACATCCTTGTAACGATGTAATTCAAACTACCGTTCATCAGGACGACCCAAGTTGTTTGGCTCTTGACTCTGCACTGCACTGTAAGCTCTTGATGTGTGCTGAGAGCTAACGGTGGTGGCGTGTGTTTGTGTGTAGTTGGCTCTGAGGGCCGGGAATGAGAAGGACGAGGGGGAGACGGCAGATACGGTGGGCTGCTGCTCTCTGCGTGTGGAGCACATCAGACTGCACCCTCAGCTGGATGGACAGGACTACGTGGTGGAGCTGGACTTCCCGGGAAAAGACTCCATCCGTTACTACAACAAAGTCTCCGTAGAGAAAAGAGTGAGAGAATCTGAATATGAGCAGCACTGGTGATATTTAAAATCTTCTTTGGATGATGGGATGTGAGCTCTAAGATGTTCTTCAATATTTATAACCAATATATATGTTGTTTTTGTTGCGGTAGGTCTTTAAAAACCTTCAGTTGTTCCTTGAAAACAAGCAGGCGAAAGATGATTTGTTTGACCGCCTCAATGTAAGACCTTCATACTACATGTCACCGTGAACATTATCATTCCTATAGTGTGCATCTTGTTTAACCCTGTAAAGCCTGATATGTGACCCTGGAGCACTAAAGCAGTCTTAAGTCGCTGGGGTATATTTGTAGCAATAGCCAAAAATACATTGTATGGGTCAAAATTATTGATTTTTCTTTTATGCCAAAAATTAGGATTAGGATATTAAGTAAAGATCATGTTCCATGAAGATATTTTGCACATTTCCTATCGTAAATATATCAAAACTTAATTTTTGATTAGTAATATGCATTGCTAAGAACTTAATTTGGACCTTATTCTACATCCCTAATCCTACCCAATACCTAAACTTAACAACTACCTTACTAACTATTAATAAGCAGCAAATTAGGAGTTTATTGAGGGAAAAGTTGTAGTTAATAGTGAATAAGTGTTCCCTAATCTAAAGTGTTACCTGAAATGAAAATCAGAAAGGAAAAGTTTGCATTCGTGTTTTGTGTTGAGTATCAGTATTTGATATATCAGGTTTTTGTGGCTCATATAGGAGGATGTAGTGAGAATATAGAGCTCATACTCGAAGAGGAAAAAAACGTTCAGTTTTATTTAGAGACCCAAACTGAGCAAAATGATGCCGTTTGGTGCAAATGCGGATATTTATATGGCTGAAATGTAAGGTGAAACTCGCTTGTAATGTAATAATTGAGATTAGTATAACAGACTACTTGCATAAAATGATATAAATATCGGTTGTCACTCTATATCTGCCAATAATATGTCTTAGTAAGATGATATTTAATTGCTTAGTTTGATGATCAAGGCTCTGTAGTTCAAAACATAATGCAATGCAATACAGTGATGACTGAGAGATGAACAAATAAATGTTCCGCAGAAGCCTGATGATCATATTTGATACTTGCTTTTTAAGAAATTATGTTCAAATATGAGTATGTATAATCCAGTAAACCTAAGCTGCTTCATTCCAGTCAACGTTCATCTTGAAATACTACTAATAATATGTTATTCTTATGTTTGCTTTATAAAAAATCTGTATAGATTTCACAACAAAAAGACATGTGAACCACAACCTTTACAATTATACTAACAAGGCTTTTCTTGCTAAAAATGTATAAATGATCAATCAGAGGACAGAAGGCATGAAGTAGATTGTGTGCAGAAGGTTTTTCAGCAAAGTTTTGTTCGTATTGATCATTTAGGGGCCTTCGAATTTTGCATATCAAATATAATACCGCCGGCTTTAAGTGATGTGCTCTGCTCTGTTCTTTAGACATCAATTCTGAATAAACATCTCCAGGAGTTGATGGATGGGTTGACGGCGAAAGTGTTTCGCACTTATAATGCATCCATTACCCTCCAGCAGCAGCTCAAAGAACTGACCAGCTGTGAGTCTGTCTCTCCTCTGGTCCATGTCTGTGTACTTGATGAATTATTTGCTGATACCGAAACAATTTAGCAGTTTCGCTATTTGCATGTGGTATTTTGTTTTTAAATTCATTAAATGACTTCATAACCCCTTCATCCTGATTGTTACAGCTGATGATAACATCCCTGAGAAGATCCTCTCGTATAACAGAGCGAACCGCGCTGTGGCTGTTCTCTGCAACCACCAGAGGGCGCCACCAAAAACCTTTGAGAAATCCATGCACAATTTACAGACCAAGGTACGAGTCATTAAAATCACCATCGGTAATGTGAATTCTGGACTTTTTTGCTGTCGTCAATAAACAAACCTTGTGTATCGGTATTGTAGATAGACGAGAAAAAGAAACAGCTCTCTGCTGCCAAGAAGGAACTTAAAGCAGCCAAAGCTGACGCCAAGACGCTTCGCGATGAGAAGAGTAAAAAGTAAGCAGTCGTTTATTTAATTCTTCTGTTTTCATTTTCTGAAAAACTGGAAACTGATTCAATGCGTATGTATATCCGTATGTATATCAGAGCCATACGTGTTTTCTCTAATAAACGTGTGTGTGGTTTTGTTTCGTTGAGGGCTGTGGAGACGAAGAAGAAGGCAGTGCAGAGGATATCTGAGCAGCTGATGAAGCTGGAGGTTCAGGCCACAGATCGTGAGGAGAATAAACAGATTGCATTAGGCACATCTAAACTCAACTACCTGGACCCACGAATCTCAGTCGCCTGGTAAGAGAAATCTGAGTGTTCACATTGACTTTGGCAAGTTGGACTTCATTCTAGTAGTCTTAACTTTTACTGTAGCATTAATGCAGAAAGTACTAGTGTGGAAATAGTTTTAAGGTTGCATATGTCCCTTCAAAGTAAAGAGGGGAAAAACATGCAGGCGGGAACAATGGGCTCAGGCGGTTTTCCTCTTGTATGTAATGTCCGTGGGTGGGAATAGTGGCGGTTTAGGCCCCGAGAAGGGTCTACGCCTGAACCAGACTCCTGCCTCTGTGTTTACTGTCATCAGCCCACCTTTCGGCTTATTTTTGGAAAAACTCCCTACTATGACACAATGGCCCATTCACCAGTTTCTAAATGGGAGGACTCCTTGTTTTGGAAAAGCGTGGAAGAATATCCCTTTGACCTTTACCTCTGCTAAATGTGTGTTTGTGAAAGGGACTTTCTCCAGCCATGATATCCTGTTTACTATTTTCTTCCCTCCACAGGTGCAAAAAATTGGGAGTTCCCATTGAGAAGATCTACAACAAAACACAGCGAGAAAAGTTTGCCTGGGCTATCGACATGACAGATGAGGACTTTGAGTTTTAAAGCTTTTATTTTATTGTTGTTATTTTGATTAATTGTTTATCAAGGAGATTTAGCACAAGGTAAAAAATACAGAGCAAGCCAGTAGTTTCTCTCAAAATGAGGGTCTACATCAGTTCAGTGGTTATTTGTTTAACCCAAACTGCCTTTTTGAAAACAGAAGAGGGCCTGATACTGAGCCTTGCTGAACACCATGTCTTTATTCAAGAAAGGCTGTAATTGTTTCATATCATGCCTTGATTGTTAGTATCCTTTGGTTTTAGCCTTCAGATTTATTGATGAATTGTATATTTTCATAGAAAAAAATCATGAAATACTGCAACCCCTGCGATCCGTAAATGAAAAATTGTGTATATAAAATTGAGTAAAAATTTTTTTTTAGCTGGCATACATAAAGAAAAGCAAACCGAGGCATTAATGTCATGATGAGGCAATGCAACACAATGCGAATATAGTCTTTTTCTTTTTTTTATGTTTCTATCAGGGATGTACTTTTTTTTTAATGTGTGCAAAGAAATGTATTTTATCAAAAGAATATGATTTTAAGTATAGCCATTATTCCTGTGTATCCTGTTTAGCATTTCTTTTTATTATGAAATTTAATTTCTGTGCATTTGCTATGATATAACAGTTTCTCATGAAAGTAAATTATGTTGCACAGCACTAGTTTATATGAAAGCTGCAATGTCACTAGAAAAATATTATGTATTTGATGTATTAATAGAAATCTATTAGGTAATTTACCTTTTAATTTGAAGTCTTGTAAGGCCCTGTGCACAGTTTTTTAAAAAAGAGTATAGATATGAGAAGCAGCTAGTCTTTTTTAACATTTTATCCATCTTTCACCCAAGTTCACAGCCGTGTTTTATTTTAAAAAGTAAGAAGAAACTTGTCTTAAAGAATTTTTTTTATACCAACCGAGGAAAGGGCCGTTTCTGTAGGACTGCTTTTTTGTGTATTTTAAATGGTTATAAATTACACTGAAGTCATATGGTACCTGGTTAGCGCTCAGACATTGATATAAATGTTATATGCAAGATTAATAACATCATTAAAGACACCTTCATTTTTCTGTAATTTATTGGGCAGTATAACAGTGTAAGCTTGAATGTTGATTTTGCTTTGCGTTATTGTAGTAGGACATTATCAGGTTACACAGTCCTTTTGTGAAGGTTATGTATTCAGTGTAATTATTGACAGTTTAACCGTACATTAACTCTTAGTGTAAGCCAAGTTTAGTTTAAGATTGATTTGGAAGTCTTTTTAATTATTTAGACAGTAATTTAATGACAGAGAAATGTGTATGTAATTTAAATGATATTGGGTCTTGAATGCGGGAAACTGAAGTGAATGAAAATACAATGCTCGGTACTTGGTATGAGACGATATTTGAGAAAAAAAGACTAGCGCCCTATGTAGCAAAAGGACAGATTTACACATGCCTGCAGCATATAGAAATATGGAATCATTTCATCTAAAGAGGGTTTTTCTTGTTAAAATGTTTGTTTATTAACATTATATGCCTAGAATAAAGGTTTTAAGGTCGTACCCACATCCTCCGTGTCTTTTGCTTTGAACGTGTGACTGCGCCGTGAAGGCAGCGATCTGCACTTGCGGCTTTGGTTTATAACCTCTTCCTATGAGCGCATTGTGCAATTGCATGCATGTCTGCTGTCACATTATGCTGCACGCCAGTTTTGATTTGAAGAATATGCTGTTCTCTTGAGAAAGCGTCAAAAAATAAGGTTATGCTTTTAAAGGAGTTTCAGAATCAGAAATCTATTGACCAAGAGAAACTTACAAGGATACAGCTCACCCAAAATGAATGTTTAATGATAAATGCGTTGAAGAGTATAGTAGATAGGCTGTCAATGCATGAAGTGATCAGCTGTTTTCTCACAGAAGTCAACATAATGAAGTCTCCTCCATTGACATCTGGTAAAAAAAAGTTACCCTGTTGTCACTTGAGTGGCGGGTGTTAATTTCAAACCCTGATTTTATATAAATATGAAAATGAGTTGAGTCAGTGCTGTGTGTGCACATAAGTAGACTGTATTGTGTACTGTATGCACATATGTAAGGTGCAAGAGCAACTGAGCCGTTCTGATGTGTAAAGTGCAACGTCATCTTTTTTTTTTTTTTGCCTAGTAGGTGCAGTGTATAGAGCACACTGTATGACAATACAATGTGCCACGATGCAATGCACTTAGCTAGATTTTCATTTCCAGTGTAACAAGGGAACCAGAAGTAGTTTTTAATATCTTGATCAGACTACCAAAATGAAAAAGAAAGAAATAAAAAAGTCAAAAATGCTAAATAACTTATTTTAATATCTTAGCTCTGTACACAGCCACTGTTTCACATCAGAAAAAAAATAATTATGCAGTACACAGTACATACTGAAGAGTTTTACATACTTTTTTACACAAAATAGTAGGCAGTACATGGTATATAGTGTGCAGTATATAGTAAGCAGTACACTAGTGTTGTATTCCTAACATACGCTGTGTCTGAATATGCCTACTTCCATACTATATAGTATGTCAAAAACATTATGCCAAAAGAGTAGTATGTCCAAATTCATAGTATCTGAAAAACAGTAAGCAAAAAGTAGCAATGCAACTGATGCTGGTCGTCACATGACAATAACAACATGACAGGTGTTGTACGTCCAAATTTCATTCACACAACTCATATTCATAATATATAGAACATACTTTTTAACGGTTGTGAAGTAAATTTGAAACTATATGTAGTATCTACAAGGCAGTATGTGATTTCAGACAGTCACCTAGTTCATACAGAAATAAAAATCAAATACTGTACATATTATACACTGTATAATGCAGCAGGCATAAGTGTGGTATTATAGTAGTACGCTATTCCAAACAGCCATAATGCGTACTATTTCACACACTTTAAGAAATAGTGTGCAGTGCACACACTGAACTGTAAGCAACTAGTATTCCATTCTGAACATAACCACATTTTACCGTACCATACTTTTTACACAAAATAGTAGACAGTACACAGTGCATACTGTGCAGCATATAGTAAGCAGTACACTCTTAATGTGTTCCAAATGTTGCCAAGGTCACCTGAGTGTCCAGTTCATACAGAAAATTCAAATACTGTATACACACTGTCAACAACAGTAAGTAGTATTGAAGTAGTACGCTATTCCAAACAGCCATCATGCATACTGTTTCACACACAGTCCATACTGCGCAGTAGGCAGTGCGTTGTGTCTTTAAGAGGCCGCGCGCTGCGCTGTAGGGATCGGCTGGTGGGGGAAGGGCTCTCACACAGCAGCTCATGGCGGAGAACAGCTCTCACTCTCGGCTCGATCACACCGCTCGGATCCGCCAAACCCGCGTCTGATCACGGGCACAGGACGACATGAGCGCTGCTGAGATTGCGGACACACTGGATGTTGAGTTTCTGCTTTTACTGAGTCCCGGAGAGCCAGCTGCGTCCAAACACGGTAAGACAAAACAAACCTGTGTTATTATCATCATCGTTAGATGCTCTAATTTTTCTATTGCATCTCATGTATAGCCTTTCAAATCTGATCGGTGTAGTAAAACCATTTAGGAATGTGTAGATTTTTTTTTATCAATAAAGGATCAGTGATTTTTTTGTGTTTTTTGTTTGCATTGGTTGCATCTGTATGAAGTGATCTTATTGGTTGTGTTTAACTAAATAAGATTAGATCAACTCTATTTACACACACCCGACTTTAGATTACTGTGTATACATTAAAGAAATGATACTTGCGGTCTGTGTTGTTCATTTATATGTTATAATAATAATAATAATAATCCATGCATTTTCACCTATTCACCATATATTATTTCTGTAGTCTATAATCTGCCTATATGACCACCAGTAAATCCAAGTTAAATGGACACATGTGGATGCATCTTACATGTGTGTGTGTTTTCATAACTGATGTAAATGCTGCATACGCTGCTGCTATGTCATAGTGGGGTTTTGTGATGTTTCTAATGCCCTTTTCTTCCTTATTTTCGTAGGTGTCGTCACCAGGCCTGGGAGGCTGTGAGTTATTGGGAAAGGAACTGAAGAACAAACAGGGGAAATGGCTGCGACCGCGGGCTTCTCCTCCAACGGACCTGGACCCTGGACGCTGAGCGACACCGAGGTGAACAATCTGTACCGGGATCTGGAGCTGGGCACTGTACTGACGCTCTTTTACTCCAAAAAGTCCCAGAGGCCCGAGAGAAGGACGTTTCAAGTCAAGCTGGAGACCAGGCAGATTATCTGGACCAGAGGAACGGATAAAGTCGAGGGCGAGAGTAAGTTCTGCCTTGTTTCTGGGTTGGTGGATGCTAAATGAGTGCTTGGCATTATGGGTTCAGAGATGGACAGTTTGGTGTGACATTGTATGACATAATTCATAACCACAGTTTTGGTTTTAAATGTGCCATTAGCTATTAATAAATATGCTTAATAAAATTCATATTTATAAAAGCATATTGTGTTTATGCTACGCACCTGCGTGAATTACACAAACCAGCACTGTCAAAGACCTTCATCCACTTATTCAGCAGTTTATTTTTAGTTTTCTTGGTGGAAAATGACTGGTGCACATTATGTACGGTTTCTTAATTTGACGTTTGCGTAAAGTATAACAATTTGGGTTTCTAACAGCCTCAAAATGTGCCTTTAGCCCTCCGGGTTCTCAATGATTTCGGTTGGCGGACCGAATTGAATTGTGATCATGTTTGGTAACTGTAAATGCTTGTGTTTTGGGCCAGCAGAAGGTCTTGGTTGTGTGCTGACAGGTTTAACTGTAGTGTACTGCTCGTCTGGGCTCTGATTGTAGGGCAGGCCCATCTGCGGCGGGGTGTCTTGCACACAGCTGCGCTACGGATGCACCAGCCACACTAAACAGAAGAGAGAAAACACCCAGTGAGCCTCAGCGAGGTGTAATTGTGCATCTGAAGTAGGGCTGTGCAATATATCGAAATTATCGAAATATCGCAAATGTACATATCGCAATATGCATATCGCTACAGCTTGCAATATTTGGGGCCATGAACAAAAGACAAAGAGAAAATCACTCACTGCTCTTACCTAAATATAAAATCAGTGCATATTGAATTCAAAGAGTAAATACTATGCAGTGTTTTATTTTTCCTTTTTATTATTCAGTTCCTAAACTCATGTTAAAATGAAATTATTTAATTAAATCGTAGCATTTGTGAATTTACAATTATGCTTAATTATGATTTTTAAATGGGTTTAATATATCATGCAGCCTTGGAAAACAGACTAATAATGTGTTTTATGGATTCTCGTCCGTGAAATGCACCACTTCCAGTATTTTGCCGGTTAGTCGACGCGAGCAAAATTAAGTCGAGGATTTAAAAAAATCAAATAGTCAAATAAAATCGACGAATCGCGACAGCCCTAATCTGAAGTTAAATGTGACGTTCTTAAATCAGACCTTTAGCAGGGCTGCTCTGCTGAATGTAAGGATTTAACAAACAGATTGTATATTTGGCATGTGAGGTTGTTGAAATAATCGACATTTAGGTGTGGATAGTTGGAGTAGGGTTGGGCCGATAGAAAATTTTATATTTTGAAATTGTAAAAATCGTAGCTTCATCAGAATGAGATGACACTTGGTGACTTTTGTTGCATTAGCTATGTGAACACACTCAAAAAAAATCATGCACATGATTCGGATATGTTAAAGGGTCAAAAAAAAAAAAGTCACACTTGGCTCCTTCCCGGTCAAAAATGACCGACATGGGAAATGAATGGGAAATACTAAAAAATACAACTCAGAGAATCTTTTGGTGGTACAAACTGCAAATCAGCCACTGTGCAGAAAAAAAGTTCACAGCAATCAAGGGGTGACACTCTAAAATATAAAGAGTGCAAAATAGACACACACACATACAATGTTTGATTGTAAGCATAATGCAAAACCTGATATTTATCTAACCAAAAATATCTAAACCGTGACATAAAGTAGTCTTTTAGACTGTCTAAAAATATATCTAAAAGCAAAATACAGAAAGTATGTCTAAAAAAACAATGGGAATCCATTTATGGAAAAATAATAATTAAATAACTAAAGTATATTAATTCTTGTTGGGAAAAATAGCTAATTAAAACTATAAATATTGCATAATATCTTAAAATCCCCTCAAAATTCTATATAATAATCAAAAAATGTTATTGAACAAAAATGTATTAAATTGATTTTCCTTAAAAGAAGTTACATTTCAAGGCTTCGGTCACTTTTGACTGCGAAGGAGCCAAGTGTGACTCCCAAACGAAGAGGACCAGAGGGTTAAAGCATTTTCAGTTTGTGTATGCTTGTCCGTTGCAGACTGCGTAGAGCTGACGTATAGATTTGAACTTGCACACGCGCTTGGTTTGGTCTTCATGCTGAAGTGATCGTGCTAATTCATTTCTTTATTTTGACTGATAATCAGTGTGCCGCCCCGTATCAGCATGCCAGATAAGCTCACTTATGAATCGTGCGGTTGGTTTGTAAGCCAAGATGGATCTTC